GAAAATAAGAAGTGAAGGGAATACTGAAAGTCAGAAGTGCCTCTGGCAAGGGATCTAGTGTCCAGAGAAGGATGTAATCTGGTAGCTCTTTTTTGTCTTCATGAATTACAGTTTCTGAGATGAAAGAAATCTAAATGAAGTTCATTTAAATAAGGGCTAGGTAACTCTTACTGTAGCATCTAACATCATCATGTTAACTGTGTAGTCTTGTGGAGAGGTAAGTGGGATGTTGCTATTCTTATCTTCCAGAACAGCAAAGCTGGGATTGTCCCTTGGCAAATGTTTGCTGAAAGAATCAGTCAGTCAGTCTCAGGCTGGTCTTCACTTCAGCTTCGTATTTGCAGATTCAGGGAAAGAGGATGAATGGCCTTCGCACACACATGTGCACTTGCATACACACATACACACATGCACAAACACCATAATGAAACCTCCTTCAGAACCAGCTTCGCTTGTAGTTTCCCTTGTGACTCAGCTGGTAAAGAATCCGCCTGCAATGTGGGAGACCTGGATTCGATCCCTGGGCTGGGAAGATCCTCTGGTGAAGGGAAAGGCTACCCACTCCAGTATTCTGGCCTGGAGAATTCCATGGACTATACAGTGGCAAAGAGTAGCAAAGAGTCAGACATGACTGAGCAACTTTCACTTTCACTTTTCAGAACCAGCCAGAGCGCTGCCATTTCTGGCCAGTATCCCCTTGACAGCTTCTGCCAGCACTGCTGCATCTCTCCTCTGAACTCCCATATCAGTACTTGATGCTGTACATGACCGCCCAGTTCATGCATTTATGTCTCATTACCCCAGATTCTGGAGGAGAGGTTAGAGCCATGGCTTCCCCTTGTTTCCTGCCTTTCATAGCATCAGGTATAAGCATTTGGTTAAACAAATTATTGAACCAGAGTGTTGCCACCAGATGGCACCAGAGTCCCTGCCATTAGTCTTGAGAATTTTGAGTAACTTTCAGCCATTTATTGCCAAGCTAGCCATTAAAAATGCCTTCAACTTAATTTATTAAGCAGAATGCCAGTAGATACTACAGTAGACACAAATAAATTAACCAGGCAGAATTGTTACTTACCATTTTCCCCATGGTAGACTGTTGTATTCACCCAGCCCCTCTGCCTGCCGCTTGTCAAGCACTGGGCTCTCACCCCAGCAGCTGCTTTCAAGGCCCTGAACAAAATCTGGCTTTCAAACTTCCCTGGCAGAGAGTGTCTTGATACCTCACCACTTTTAATATGTTGATTATTTTCGTTACCTCATTGCAATCTTTGCTCCTTTATATATGTGACTTTATGAATCTTCAATCATGTGAAGCCCTAGTAAGAGCTCTCATTTATTTAAGCAACTGCGCTTACTGTGCAGCTATGCTTATGGTTTTATACACATTGTTGCTGTTGAAATATTTTTGTTTTTAGTCACTCAGTCATGTCTGACTCTGTAACTTCATGGATTCTGCAACTTCCAGACTCCTCTACCTATGGGATTTTCCAGGCAAGAATACTGGAGTGGGTTGCTATTTCCTTCTCCAGGGGGTCTTCCGGACCCAGGAATTGAACCCATGTCTTCTGCATTGCAGGCTGATTCTTTACCATTGAGCCACCTAGAAAGCTGCCATTGAAATAAAAGAGCTATCCTATTGAATCCTTACATTATATTTATTACATTACTTGTATTGAATGCTTGCCTTGTTGGGTACTATTCTGAAAGTTTTCCATTCATTAACACATAATCTGTATAGCCTAATGGAGTAGATACTGTTAACCTCATTTATACTTCAAAAAACTGAGGCTACCAGAGCTGAGTGATTTGCCTAGGTAACAGTAAGTAGCTATATTGGGATTCATATCTAGATATCTTTAATTCTAAAGTTGCTAGGCATTTCACTGTATCATTCTACTGTATCCATTTGATCTTTAATGATTTCTTCTTCTTTAGAAAGGGTCTAAAGTTTTATTGAGTCATTAAATAAGGGTTTGAGCTATGTTATTCTCCTGCTGCTAGACTGTTAGCTCCTTGAGGACAGGAACTAGAAGTCATGTTTATTTCTCTTCCCATTAAATGCTTAGTAAATACTTAATGGATGAGTGAGAGTGAACACTGCTTTCACTCTCCCAGGGAGTCTGAGATACCAGGCTCAGATAAGGTCTAACAGAACCTTAGTGTGCTAGAACTTAAAGGGTTTTGAAAATCAAGTCAGACCCTCCTTGGGGTGACCTAATGATTTGGAGGCAGATCAGAACTAGAATCCAGATTTGCTGGGCTTCTACTGGGACATCTGTTTTGAAGAACCTAAAATGAACGTGAAAGTCGCTCAGTCGTGTCCAGCTCTTTGCGACCCTATGGACTGTGGCTTGCCAGGCTCCTCTGATCATGGAATTCTCCAGGCAAGAATACTGGAGTGGGTTGCCATTTCCTTCTCCAGGGTATCTTCCTGACCCAGGAATCAAACACAGGTCTCCTGCATTACAGGCAGATTTTTTACCAACTGAGCTATGAGGGAAGCCCAGACTTACTCCCCATCAGGACATGCTATTTATTGGTGATGGGGAGTGAGAAAGAGGCTGTGAGGGCAGGCTGGTTGTTATTATGTAAAAAGCCAAGTTTTTGGAAAAGCTGGAAGTAGACAAGAATTCCTGTTCTGTCTCAAAACATATGTGACTGGACCACATGATTGAATTCTTCTCAAGTCTCTGGGCCTACTGCTTTATAAACACCCCCATGAGCCTGTCAAAGCAAATGATGTGAAGGCTGAAAACCATGCAGCCCTTCTTTCCACACCCACCTTCATTTACCCTCTTTTAGTGTCATGATTCTAGTTGCCTTATCCCCTAGTTTAAATAATCTGCAGTTGTTTGTTGTGATGCACTTTTCTGGTCTCCTCCATGTATCTCCTAGAATGTCACATGGAGCATTATTTGGGTAGCCATTTGTTAGTACGTCCTGGTGCCTCCACACTTTTTGTTTGTAAGGCCAGAATTTTTTTTTTCATCTAACTTTTTTATTTTTTAATAATTTTTTATTTAGTATTGAAATATAGCCCATTAAAAATGTGTGATAGTTTCAGGTGGACAGCAAACGGACTCAGCCATAAATGTGTTCATTCTCCCCCCAAACTCCCCTCCCTTCCAGGCTGCCACATAACACTGAGCAGCATTCCATGTACTACATAGTAGGTCCTTCTTGGTTATCCATTTTAAGCATAGCAGCGTGTACATGTCCATCCGAAACTCCTTAATTATCCTTTTCCCCTATCCTTCCCTCCTTATAAGGCCAGGATATTTTAGAATGCTTCATTCAGGGAGTCAACTGCAGGTTCCTGTACAGTGGAACTGGTACTGAGGCAACATTGTTCAATAACCAGTGGGCAGACAGCACTAGAAGCTCTAAGGCAAAGTGGCTGATCACCATTCTCTTCCTCGGTCTCTCTCTTTTAAAATATATAAAATAACACTAAAAAACTAAGGCTTTTTCTTGCCACAGAGCAGTCTATAAAAGAGTAGTAGCTAAACACCAAAAAGATGCTTTAAGCTGCACTATCCAGTCTGATGTAGCAGTGCAACTCCTGAAATGTGACTGGTCTCTTTTGAGATATATTATAAATGTAAAACATTGGATTTTAAAACCTTATTACAAAAAAAGAGTAAAATGTTTCATGGGTAGATTATATTGAGTACGTGTCAAAAGGGTAATATTTTAGATGTATTGGGTTAAATAAAATATATTATTAAAATTAAGATAATCTGCGTCTCTTTACTTTTTTAAAGCATAGCTATTATAAAACTTAAAATTACACATATGACTCATGTTATATTTGGACTAGGCAGCACTGGTCTATAAATCCTCAAGAGTAAATATTTCCTCAAAAGTTTTCTCTTCTGTGGAACTTTAGGATGCTAGCTACTATTTTCCTCTCTATAACCACCCTCCCTTTTAAAAAAATACATTCTTTGATTTCATTTAATACCAGGAAGAAAGCCTCTAAGTGCCAATTATCTTTTTTATACCTGCTACTCACCTGAGAGGAGTGCCATCTAGTGACAGTTGGGTGGTTGGGGAAGGAGTTAGAAGACTTGGGGAAGCAGAAGACTGGTGTTGGTCCCAACTTCTGACTTAGAATCGTTTTATACATTTGGAACGCCTTAGCTAACAAGTCCGAGGTGGAAGGATGGAAAGTAAAATAGACACTCTTATAACAGAAATGTGCCTCCCTCTTAAGGTTCTAGTCTTACTTTCCCCTCATTTATCTAAATTCATTGAGGACCTATCATGGGCCAGAGTATGGCCTTGTCACTGCTCTCAAGGAGCTTACAGTAAGGTAGAGAATGAATTCGAACCTAGCCTCATACTCTAAATAAGCCCTGTAATGATGGTAGAAAGGAAAATGCTTTTGGAGCATTGGGAAGTCATGACTTATTCTGCGTAGCAAGGAGACTGAAGGCTTCATGTGATACTCTCCGCTGAAAGTCAGGTGGGAAGGATGTTTTAGAGCAGGATACCTTGACTGCAGTCGTGGGGAGTGGTAGAAGATGATCCTGAAACAGTAGTTTGGAGCTCCATGGTGGGAGGGAGATATGACTGCTTAAGGATGTTGGGTCTAAGGATATCAGATCTTATCTATAGAAAGGGGGCCTCAGAGAGTTCTAAGCAGTAGAGTGACGTGTTCACGACTAACTGTGCTCCTGGGAAGGATAGGCTGGAGCAGAGACATTGAATTCAGGGAGACTTAATAAAGAGGTCATGGTCAGCCAGGTAAGAGACAGCAAGGACTCAAATGGAAAGGAAAGAGTAGGTACAGTGAACAGGTTGGGTGGGGAAAAGCTTGGTGTCAAGCATGGTCCCAGGGTTTCTAACTTGGGTCACTCAGAGGTGCTTTTATCCAAAACTGGAAGCACAGAGAGGATCAGGCTAAAATGGAACACAAAAGATACGCTCTGAATTTGTGGATGGAGCTGCAGAGGGAGCTGGCTAGAGCTGAAGTGCTTATGTTTGTGTTTCAGATGGTGACCCTCTTTCAGATGTGGGTTGTTCCCCTCTATTTCACAGTGAAGCTGCACTGGTGGAGGTTCCTCGTGATCTGGATCTTGTTCTCCGCAGTCACAGCCTTTGTCACCTTCCGAGCCACCCGAAAACCACTAGTCCAGACAACCCCAAGGTGAGAATTTAGCCAGTGGGTAGTGGGAAGGAGCCAACTTTCCTGAAACTAATGGATTGGGATGCATGGGAGGTGGGTGGGCTTAAACTGAAAAAAAAATTGCAGTTTTTGTCTGCCAAGATTACTTGGCACACAGCCCCACCAAAACAAGCTGATTGGGAGACCTCCTGCCCCGTTCACAGAATAAACCCCCCCAGATATTTCCCTATAGCTTACCTTAACAGTTTATTTACATCAAGGTCTGTTTATATTAAAAGCTAACAATATAAGTAAGCAAATCCTGATCCTCATGGTCTCGTTTTAAGTGTTGTTTTCTTCTGTGAACTCTTCTCTGATCTCTAAGTAGATTTTTTGTCACATTCTCTTCCTAGTGCCCTGTAGCTTTCCTTCATAGAACTTATCACAGTTTATGACTAAATATTATTTTAAGTGTCTGTCTCCCCCACTAAACTAACTGTGAGATCAGGAACCACATCCATCTTGTTTGTCACTGTATATCTAGGCTCTGCCAAAGGGCCTGGCACATAGTAGCCTACTCTGAATTTTTGTTGAATGAATGAATCTCAGCACATTTAAACTGGAGAATTATAACAAACAATACTTCCTTCTTTGGTCATAAAGCAGCCCCTTCCTGTATAATTCTTTGTATTTCCAAATGCATTTCTCATCTGATCCTCCCAACCAGCTTGTGAGGTCATTTATATCTATGCTTGACAGAAAAAAAAAAAAGAGATTTTTCTCGTTCATTCATTCAACAAGCACCTGCTCTGTGTCAGGCCCTGTGCTGAGTGCTGGGGATACAGAGCTGAATAAGACATGGTCCCTGCCCTCAAGGAGTACTCGTTTTAATGGAGGAGATGGACAAGAAAACAGCTGTTTCAGTGCAGTTGGTAAGTGCTGTGAGACACATGTGCAGGTCCAGGAGAGCCTAGCAGAGGAACTGGCCAGTCTCAGAGTTGTGACTACCTGATCCAGAGACCTCCAACTTGAAACTTACTCTTTTCCCCATGCTTCTTATGTTCTGCTTTACTGCCAGCCTTTTCTTGGCCTTTTAAGTTTTATTCTACAAAGTAAAGTTTACCTACAAGGTGAAGTCAGTGATCCAGAAGCGCCTGTCTGGCTATGGTAGTTTGTTGTTATGGAGAAGGGAATGGCAACCCACTCCAGTACTCTTGCCTGGAAAATCCCATGGACGGAGGAGCCTGGTAGGCTACAGTCCATGGGGTTGCTAAGAGTCGGACACAACTGAGTGACTTCACTTTCACTTTTCACTTTAATGCATTGGAGAAGGAAATGGCAACCCACTCCAGTGTTCTTGCCAGGGACAGAGGAGCCTGGTGGGCTGTCGTCTATGGGGTCACACGGAGTTGGACATGACTGAAGCGACTTAGCAGCAGCAGCAGTTTGTTGTTATGTTGTTTAGTTGCTAAGTCGTGTCTGACTGTTTTGTGAGCTCATGACTTCAGCCTGCCAGGCTCCTCTGTCCATGGGATTTCCCAGTCAAGAATACTGGAGTAGGTTTCAATTTCCTTCTCCTAGGGTTCTTCCCTACACAGGGGTCAAACCTGCATCTCCTGCTTGGCAGGCAGGTTCTTTACCACTGAGCCACCTGGAAAGTCTCCTGCATTAAAAGCCATCATAAAATATACAGGCTCCGGAGCCAGATGGATGTGGATTGGAAACCCCCAGCCCTGCCATTTGTTAATTATATGACCCATATGACTGCATGTTTCTCAGCCTTGAATTCTTTATCCCTAAAAAATGTGATAATAATTGCTACCTCATATAGGGTAATATGAAGAAAGAGTATAATAAAGCATGTTAAACATCATCAGGTAATTTAAATATCTTAGCTAAATGACTGAAAATATGTTTATAACCTGAGAGGTTTTCAATGATGATTAACAACTAGCATTCAGTAATGCTTTACAGTTTCAAAGCACTTTCATAAACATCCAGATTTATTTATGCAGCATTTATTGAGCATGTATTTTATACACTAGGAAATGGGCTGTGTACAATCCAGTGAGAAAGGTAGTAAGGGGTTCCTGTTTTAGGACTTAATAAACTTGTCTCAAGTTAATTTGGCTTATCTGGGATTACCCAGCTACTAAACCTCACTTCATCCAGCTTCCTCCTAAAATGCTGTATCCTTTCTGCGGTGTCTCACTCCCAGCTGATCATTGCAAACTCTGGATGGTGGAGCTTCTGTGGTCTTTGAAGGTGGACACTGCAAGGTGTTTGGGTCCCTTTGCTAACCTGAGAAGTCATTACACCCTTGCTTAGCCGCAGCAGGGAGGCCTGAGCAGGGACCTTGAGCATCTTCCCTGAGGCCCAGCAGAGTGACAGTAACCTCGTTGGCTCTCAAGAGCCAGACAGACTTGCTGAGTTGCTCTTTAGCTCTCTTTGCCAGTAGAACAGTGGCCCGTGATATAAGGTACCTATGTCCACAGCATTTAAAAGCCTCTGGTACATTCTGGGAACTGTCTTTCCTCTCCGAACCTACTTGCAGTCAACCAACCAGATTCCATACTTCTTTTCATTGGATCCTAGGGAGCATGGCTCCTCTTTCAGGAGAATCTCATACCCCCATCCAACCCCCACTCCCAACCTACACCACTATCACACATACACACACACCCCCCCCCAAATAAAGGTATTCTTTGACCCCTCTTTCAGGAGAATCTCACACCCCCATCCAACCCCCACTCCCCAACCCACACCACTATCTCACACACACACACACACACACACACCCAGGAGAATCTCACACCCCATCCAACCCCCACTCCCCAACCCACACCACTGTCTCACACACACACACACACACACACCCAGGAGAATCTCACACCCCCATCCAACCCCCACTCCCCAACCCACACCACTATTTCTCTCTCTCTCTCTCACACACATACACCCAAATAAAGGTATTCTTTGAGTGCCTCCTTCCTTATCCCTTCTCCTCCAAGGGGGAAAAAAATTCAGAAGCAAACTCATTAGACATCATTCATTTTGTTATTGTTCTATGGGTTAGAACAAAGTAGTATTCAGATTAACCATGCCCAGTTACAAAAGCCTGTAGCTAATTCTACCTCTTATTCATCTCTCCTTGAATCCTCTTTCCTGACAAGAATAACTGTTTCCTTCTGAGCATAGCTGTAGTTACTGGTTTTCACTTCCTTATCCAGCTGACCTAAATTTGAGATGACATAGTTGTCTGAGGTTAGGCAGGCATTCTTTGTTTGATGTTGAAACCTCCTTTAAAAAAAAAAAATTGAAGGATAATTGCTTTACAGAATTTCATTTTCTGTCAAACATCAACATGAATCAGCCATAGGTATACATATATCCCCTCTGTTTTGAACCTCCCTCCCATCTCCCTCCCATCCCACCCCTCTAGGTTGATACAGAGCCCTTGTTTGGGTTTTCTGAGACATGCAGCAAATTCCCGTTGGCTGTCTATTTTACATATGTTGAAACCTCCCTTTAATGCTCCCTTTTCTTCCCTTGGTGTGAGACCGGGAAAATACAAATACAAAATACCTCCCTGGTATGTGGGGGTGTTTTGCAATTGAGGGGGAGTGATCAGCCATGTATAGTAACTGAAGTTGCTCAATATAAATCCTAAGCAAAGAGCCTGATGTCCCCATTGATGTGAGAGAAAGGACTTCTGGTGATCCAGAGGCTCCTAGGCCATATTTCTGTGTCCACATTACTGACTTTCTCCCCTTTCTCCAGGTTGGTGTATAAGTGGTTCCTGCTGGTCTATAAGATCAGCTATGCCACTGGCATCGCTGGCTACATGGCTGTTATGTTTACCCTCTTTGGTCTTAACTTGTTATTCAAGTGAGTACCCTTTGCTTTTGTTTTTGCTAGTGTTTGGGGAGAAGGAACTGGTGAGATATACCTTTGTTCCTGGGTACATCCTGAATATTAGCAAGAGGAATATGGCACTTAGGATAGCGACTTGGGCTGTGGAGGATGGGAGGATGGATGACCCCTCTCTGATTTTGTGCTGGCAAAGAGAAAGGAATGTCTTGATAATACAGAGTTAAGAGTCTCAGATCATTGGTTGTGCTTTCTCAGAATTTATATTTTAATGGAAAACTATAATAACAAAAATAAGCATAGTAATGATTATAGCCAGTTACCCGTAACTCCATCACCCCAACAGAACCATTTTCCTTTTCCATGTGTGTATTGTTTCTTACAACATCCACTCTACCTTAGTGGTCTTATGTTCAAGGAGAGTAGAAGTTGGCAAACTACGTCCTATGGGCCAAATTGACCTGCCTTCAATTTTTATCAAATAAAACATTTCTCCCGAAACACTCATTTGTTTATACATTGCCTGTGGCTGTTTTTGCAGTAAAACAGCAGAGTTGAATAATTGTGGCAGAGACTTTTAGGGCGATAAACCTAAAATTCTTACAATCTGGACCTTTACAGACAAAGTTTGCTGACCCCAGGCTAGACAGTTGAACTCATGGAACAGTTGGTTACACCTGGCAGCAGATCCACCTAGAAGGATACAAGACCGGAAATAACAAGGCAGTGCCTGCTGGAGTCCTTACAGTAGTCCCAGTGCTGAGATGTGAGGGAATGAGACCACACAGATGAGTCTGGGAGCCACCCAGGCCCAGAAGCCGAACTTCTCCAAGGAACACATCAGGTTTAAAACTCCCTGGATCCAGATACTATGTTCTAATCACAGATAAGGTTTAACATAAGCATTGTTGCTTTGTAACACAGCTGACATTCTGCCTTTAAGAGATTTCTCAGGAGATAGAATTAATGTGTGGACTTTTAAGTCTTGCTCCACTGTTGGGCACATAGGTTGTTTTTCAGTGTACTGCTGCCACAGATAACATTGCCGAGTTGCTTCCTTAAGGATACATGACTGGGAGTGGGATTCTGGCTGTTACTTCCTATTGTCATAAGCTTTTCAAAAGATCTGATTCAGCATACATGTCCCCTCCCACCCCCCCTGCTCAATAGAGCAAAAGCCAGATAATCCTGTCCTGGACTCTGGGACAATGACTATGACAATCATAATGACTCTGGGACTGGCGGGTACAATAAGTAGAGCAGAAAAGGGTAGGAATGTGGTTTCCTGGCTGAGGGAATGGGGGCTGTAGGCTGTGGGTCTTGAGGAATTCTAAGCCTGGGACAGTGTGTTGAAGCTAGAGATTCAGGATTAAAATTTAAATTCATGACCGCTGACCTCTTCCCCAAACCGAGTACACTGTAGGCAGCAGTTTCTGATACTGAAAGACGTCAGTCCTACTTTATATAGTGAGAGGACAACCACGGAATTCTTCTTCCAGGTGTAGTATAGGCTGAAAGAATAAATAGGTGCCACAGATACTTAGAGGAATTTATCAGTGAAGAGTCATTAGGGCTCATCAAAGAAAACCCAGATTCCAGATAGCTTCCTAACCTTTGTGATTAAAAAAGTGAAAACCAAGATTCTCCATGTTTTATGTTATGTTTTTAAAGGTATTTATTCTAGAATTATAATTTCTACTTTGATAAACTACATAAGGAGGAAAACATACTTGAGAATCTTGACCATTTTTATGCTGCTAATTAGGTTAATTGGTGTAAGACCATGATATCAAATTAGTAGGTTAAATACTACAAGATTGGTGGGAAAATTCAACTTTCTGAGATAAATATAATTTACAGTCTTAAGTGAACATATTCAGTTCTGCATACAAATGTTTTAACAAAGATAGTTTTCTTTAATAAACATTTGAAGACTCAAGGTTGCAAATTATTGGTCCATGAAATCACTAAAACAAACTCCTAATATTATAGGCATATTGTCCTTATTAAGAAGACTTGGACCAAAATTTAACTATGGTGACATGATACAGAATATGTGTAGTTGCAACTTAAACTTGTATGTAATGGGTATGTGTATGTTTACTAACTGTATCTTTTCTAAAGGTGTGGTTAGAAAGCTTTTTCTTTTGTAAAAGGCCAAATAAATATTTTAGGTTTCATGGGACAAAAGGCAAGATCTAGGATGGTTTATAGGTATTTACATAACAAGAGGGAAAACGCCTCCCTGCCCCATGTATTTGCCTGGGTGAACTGTCTCAGATGGTGGGCATTTTGTGTGTCCACTTGCCAGCAGGTGAAACATTCTCTAAAGGAGGGGCCTGATGGGGGCGGGTGAGCATTGGGATCAGTTTCAGTCTGCTCCAGTGACACCCAGAGCCTGCTGTGCTCTTCCCTCCTTTTGAAGGGCTTGGCCATTTCAACTTAAGCAACTTCCTGGAGGTGAGGCAATTCATTAGTGAGTTGCTCACTTCCAAACCGAAAATCTCCCTGTTTGGTGTGCAGTGGTTGCCAGTGGTGGAGTCCCCAATGTGTAAGTGTGAACCAGAGCAGAGCCTAGGCCGATGCAAGGCATGGGCATCAGTCACAGGAGGCAGGCACTGGAAACCCCGTGAGGAAATGGGCAGGAGGGGATACTCTGACTTGGTCTTCACAGCTTCCAGTCCTAGCCTGTCAGGAGGTGCCCTGACATATGTCAGGTGACCATATGCAAACAGGCTGGACTTGGTTTTAGTTTGCCAATACTTGGTCTACTCTTGAGGCTTCTAATTTTAGGCACTGCCTTATGTGTCCCAGAATAGTAATGCAAAGCAAGTACATCTCAGGGCAAGGCTTACAGGCCATACTGCTTCCCTTACAGGATCAAACCTGAAGATGCCATGGACTTTGGCATTTCTCTCCTCTTCTATGGCCTCTACTATGGTGTTCTTGAGCGGGACTTTGCAGAAATGTGTGCAGACTACATGGCATCGACCATAGGGGTGAGTTCACCTGGGCTTTTATTACTGCCACCTTCAAAGAGTTCAGGATAGCATCTCTTGTTTGATGGAAGAGATAAGCCATACAAAATCCTTCAAGATGTGAGTGGTATATATGGAGATTCCCTCTTTAAAATTTGGAAAGCTAGATCTCAGAGGTACCCTGGAATTTTTTACTCTAAGCCATAAGGTAAAAGTCACTTTACCCTACAAGAAGTTGAAAGTCACTCAACAGATACTTATTTAATGTCTCCTGTGTCCCTAAGCACATCTAATATGCTTAGATTCGAAAGGTGCACAAAAATAAACATGATTATTGCCCAAATAGAGTTTACTGTCAAGAGAGATGGTTATTAAAGTAATTAAAAACACCAATAAATTATATATGATGCATTATATTGTTCATAATAAATATAACAAAGTTATATTATTAGAAATTATAACTAATAAATATTATCAAGGGAGGTTCATGATACTATGAACAAATACAGTTAACAGCATTTGATCTAGTCTTGGGGCTCAACAGTGGCTTCCCTGATGTGACTTTTGAGCTGACCTGAACAATGAGTGGGAGTTAACCAGATGAAGTGAAAAGTGAAGTGTGTACCAGGTAGAGGAAATAGCATGTGTAAGAGGTCTGTAGTGGGAGAAAAGGTGAGAATTTTGAGGAACTAAGGCTAATGTTGTTGTGGGGCTGAATTATAGTGGAAGTGTCTAGAGAAATAAAGGCTAGACTAGAAAAACCCATATAGGCCAAATGAAAGATTGTGATTTTTATAGTAAAAATACTAAGGGACTAATATAGAAAATGGTAACATCATATTTGCACTTGGAAAAGATCATTCTGGCTGCTTGGGTAGAGAACAGATCGGAGAGGGTTCCACAGATCAGTGTGACCCACTATGACTATTTAAAGAGACAGTTGCAGTAGTTTGCACAAGGTGAAGGCAGCTTGGATTAGCGTAGAGATGGTGAAAAGGGAGAGAAGTGGACTGAGAGGTATTTTGGAGGTAAGTTTGACAGTACTTGGATATAGATTGATCCTGGGGACTGAAGGAAAAAACAGGAAGAAAAGAAAAGTAGGTACCAAAGCTGACATTTCTGACTCAAGCAACTCCTCGGATACTTCACTGAGATAGGAAATGCTGCGAGAGGACCAGGTGGAGACCATGCAAAGATTCTTCAAGCTTAAAATATAGGTAAAGTCTAAGAAACCCAACTCAATATCCTTACTCTTTTTTTTTTCCGCAGTGGAAATGTTTGTTGTTTTGTTGTTTGTAAAAATAATGAGTTCTTTTTGAAATTGTGTGAACAACACAGAAGTGCTCCCCATCTTGGTATCATTCCATTAGACCCCGCCCCCCCAAAAAAATATTTCCAAGTTTATTAGACATTTCTCCAGTTCTGTGCTGAAATAATTGTGACTCTGGTGTGTGGGGGCTGAAGGGTATTCCGAAGTTCTTTCTAGGTCGAAGTTTGGCAAGTTGGAGAGAAGCCCTAGAACATCAGGGAAGTGGGTTCTCCTGGTGCCTCCACATACAAGTCCTAGCTTTCAGGCAGAAGATATCAATGGAGACCAACTGAAAAGAACAAGAAAGGCTTGGCACTGACTTCATGTGAGGCACTTCAGGACCTCTTGCTGAGCTTGTGGCAGTTTTGCAGGTGCGACCTCTTGGCTGTGCAAATTTGTATGTCACAGCTGCTGTGATCTCATTTGTGCCTTGGGCTGGTAGGCTTAGGGCAATTCAAGTTAAACAGAAGATTCAGCTATCACCTTGGGTGTGTGTGCTGGTCACTCAGTCATATCCAGTTCTTTGTGACCCCATGGACTGTACTCTGCCAGGCTTCTCTGTCTGTGGAATTTTCCAGACAAGAATACTGAAGTGAGTTGCCATTCCTACTCAAAGGGTTCTTCCTGACCCAGGAATTGAATCTGCATCTGTTGTGTCTCCTGCATTGTCAGGCAGATTCTTTACCACTGTACCACCTGGGAAGCCCTATCAGCTTGCATAATGTCAACCAAGTACAGTTTTGGGTCTGGGACTTTGTGTCTCAGTATCATGGGACTATCTTTCCTATAATGGATTAAATAGAGAACAAAGTGTATTGGATTTTAGACAGCTTATTAGATTCTTTTCTGAACAGCTGTCTCATAGCAGCATCTCACTTTCTCTTATTTAGTTGTGTCTTCAGCTGTTCATTCAACTAGTTCACTCCCTGAAGAAATTTCCCAACCCTAGATTGTCTAATTACTCACTTTACTTTCAGCAGCAGCTGTTCACTAAAACTGTGTCCTTTGGTGGCACAGCCAGCTTTTCAGAGAGTCTCTTACTGGAATCCTGTCCTTTACCCTCTAGTGATTTCTTCTTCTTTTTCTATTTTTACAGGACCAATTCTCTGATTTTCCCAAGTAGTTGCCAACTTTATCTCAAAGTTATTATCAGGTGCCAATTTAAATATAGCCTTTATTCCCTCCCAGGTGGGTCCCTAATGACTAATCTGCAGAATCCCTTTTCTGTCCACGTGGAGCTAAGCTCAGAATTGATCACTAAGTTAGCATCTCCTCTGGGAGATGGAGTTATTACATTGGCCTCTGCAAGATGGGATTTGGCCTGGGCCTCTTCCCATGTTTTTGGGAAGAATTATTGGGTACTCTAGTGATTGTAAATGATAATCCTTCATAAAATAATTCCCTAATAATGATAAATTCCAACTTCACCAGGAGACCTGGTGGGGGAATTTCTCATTAGGGTGGAGAGTGCCTCACACACTAGCTCTTGACCCCTTATATTCTCCTTCCTTTCGTGGGATGTCACTAATTACCCCCACCACTCCATAACAATCTGTCCCAAGGGTAAACCACATACCTCACTGTACCTCTTAGCACGGAATGTAGGAATCAAACAATCACATTGGACTTTTTATTAAAGAGTTGAGGATGAGAGCAGGAAAATAAAGTGTGAGCATCTGAATGAGGTTGATCTGAAGTACGAGGTAGCCTGCTCTCCAGGGCTTTTAGACCCTACCTCATGCAACTCAGCCTGTGTCAGTGTACTGGGTGTCATCTTAGCACCCACAACCTGGAATCCACACCTGAACAGCGACTGTCCTCCAGATGCCAACACCCAGAGCCTGTGTTCTTGATAAAAATAATGCTGCCCCTCCTTTATACCACAGGCTAGTCTTCTGAATCCTAGTATCTTACCTGATAGCTACCTCTCCCCTAAGTAATTGACATTGAGAATGGCTTTCCGTTTCAGAGGAGCCACTGTAACCAACTGTCTCTTTCAGAGGAGTCACTCTGAAAATTCCCATCCAACAGAATGTGACCTTACTGAAATAGCAGTTTGCTTTTTCCCCAGGGTCCCATCCTGGGGGTCATAAGAATACTAGAATGGCCTGTGATAGTACCGGGTGAGTCACCAGGAGTTAATTCATTTAATTCATTTTTCTGTTTTTAACTGTTTTCTAGTTCTTTTGGTAAATATTGATGAGATTTAGTAACAGGTCTTCTGCTAGGGCTCAGGATACCAGCAGATTAGATCAGATAGGAATGTGTGAGAAGAGACTTCAACATGAGATTAAAGGGACCTACCTTAGAGTTCTTTCCAACCCTGAGAATTTCAAAACTGTTGTTATTTCTGCCCACTTTGGTCAGATGGGCCTTGGTCAGCTCAGAAACACATAGGCCCCTGAATCATGACAGACTGAATTTCAAGAATATTCCTGGGGCTTCTCTGGTGGTGCAGTGGTTAAAAATCCACCTGCCTTTGCAGAGGATACAGATTTGATCTCTGGTCCAGAAAGATTCCTCATTCCACAGGGCAACTAAGCCCCTGTGTAACTACTGAGCCCATGCACACCTAGAGCCTGTGCTCTGCAAGAAGATAAGGCACCGCAGTGAGATGAGAATTCCAAGAGCTGCCACTGTAGAGTAGCCCCCGCCCGCCACAACTGGAGAAAGCCCATGTGCAGCAACAAAGATCCAGCACAGCCAAAAAATTTAAAACATAAATAAATAAGTTAAAAAAAGAATATCTGTGGTCTTGAAGCCAGAATCTGATCAGTGCTTTGGGGAGGGTAATTTGAGGAAGTCAAGAGACAGCAGCTTTCTACTCATTCATTAGCCAACTCATTCATTTATTTATTCAAGCAACAGTTATTTACCAGTAGTCTACAGTGCACAGAATGTGACTAAGTGCAGCCTTTACTAGCTTCATTGCTCACTTTCAGTAGCAGCCCTTGTTTTATTTTTAAAAAACTGCTAAAAATATACATACCATCTTAACCATTTTGAAGTGTACAGTTCAGTAACGTTAATACATTTACATTGTAGCGTTAATACATTTACATTGTTCTTCAGCTGTCACCATCATCCATCTATAGAGCTCTTCATTTTGCAAAACTGAAGCTTTGTACTCATTAAACAATAATTCCCTAATCCCCACTCTCCCCAGCCCCTGGCAACAATCATTCTGTCTGTCTCTATGAATTTGACCACTTTAGACACCTGACATAAGTGAACTCATATGCAATATTTGTCTTTTGTGACTGGCTTATTTCAGTTAGCATAATATCCTCAAGGTTTACGTTTGTTGTGGCATGTCAGAATTTCATTCCTTTTTAAGGCTACATAATATTTCACTTTGTATCACATTCGCAGTTCTGTTTATTTTTTCATAGTCTTTGTATATTTGGTGATCACAGCTTCTATCCCAAAGAGTCATAGTTGATTTTGGAGCTGTACCAGTCAGGAACTAGGTCTGATTCATCTCTTGGTCCCCCTCTGGGAGTGGTTTGACCTAAAAAAAAAAATCTGTGATTAACTAATTTCACAATTCCTAGAAATAAAACTATGATGTTTTATAGTTGTATTAAGTATTCTTAACTCCTTTTACACTACTCTACACTACTCTTTTTAGTTAGTGTAGAGTAGCTCTTTGTTTTGCCTCACTTGGAGAAATTTGTAACTGTTTTGTTGAGTCAGTTGATTCAAGGGACTC